ATGAAAGTAAGTGAACAGAGGAAACACAGTGTCAATGAAAAGAGCAGAAGGAAACTCAGTTCAGAGTTATTGGCTTTGACAATAGGACTGTCTTTATATTTAAAGAAGATCAAAGCCATGCCTATGGTTAAACAAATACCAAGTATGGAGAATGTCACCAAAGATATTCCCATAGTTTCTCCAAAGGACAGGAATTCAGTGCTCTTCAATAGGCAGTTATCTCTTTGCTTATTTGACCAATATTCAGTATGACATTTAATGCAATTAATAGCATCTGCAAGAAAATGAAACAGAGATGCATTTAGTTTCAGTGTTGTAAACAACCTCATATTTTTGGTACCTAATGTACAGTATTTGTCTTATGATAAGTTTACCTTATATATTTTAAAATCACAATTTAAAATCTAAAGACAGAACTTGGTAAAACAAAATTATCAATATTGATTTACTTTCAGCACTTGTAGAAGGAAATTTTTGCCTAAATATACTGGATAGGAAAATAGACTTTCCAAGGTCAGTAACATGGTATACAGTGTGTACTTTAAGTGAACACTGTTTTTAACCAAGTTCATAGAGTATAATCTTTTTTAAGGAGTATTGATCAACTATTGCGCAATTGTATGTGTACATCAAGATTATTTTTCCATGGATTTCAAAATGCAGCCATCCTTTTACAGTACCTGTTGTGTTACTAATTTCTCCTTCAGCACATGGTACACAGTCAAAGCAGCAGACAGGCCTTCCCTTCTGAACAGCCTTCCGAGTGCCTGGAGGACAGCTCTCACTGCACACTGACACAGGCACCTTTATAACAACAAAACCTATTAAGCTTAAGGGCACAATACACAACACATCAAAACACAACAAACAATAGAAGGCTCATGCTGTATTTTGCTGTTAAGAAGATAAAAGTAAAGAAAGGTAACATTTTAACTGTTGAAGACTGCAACACCATAGGTGGTTGACAGATTGCACTATGGTAATTAATAGTCAAATAGTAAAGATAAGTGACAGAGCTAGTCAGGTGTGAGTCAGGTGCCTGCCTTGACAAATGTGATCAAATGAATGTATGATTATAGCACCATCATTGACAAAATCAAATGTTTTTCACAACATATCTACGGAGATTTTTTTTCATCCATACCTTCTCCCGATTCTGAGTCCAAACAATGCGTGAGTTATTCACAACAAGGTGAAGCCGTGCTGGTAAAGATGCATCATAGTGACCTACAGTGACAAATTCAATCTCGCCCTCCTTATTTAACTGCCAGTTTAGTAATTCATATTTGGCTGCAGGATCTCCATTGTCATCAAAGAACACCTGTTCTCCATTTTTGGTTGAGAAATTAACTCTTTTCAAATAATGAAGTACCTAAAGTGAGGCAACAGTTCATGCACAACAAAAGATTGTATTACTTAAAAAAGCAGAATTTTAAATTACTAGAACAACAGCAGATTGCCATGCAAATTACCTGCCAAGGTGCAGCCTCCAGCTTATTTAGACATGTCTTATTTCCAAGACGACCCTGTGCAGTTTTGCAAGGGAACATATCATTTAGTGCATAAGTGACAGCATATACAGCTTTATAAACATTGTTGGCAATCTGCAAGTCATTTGCAGCCGTGTATTGGTTATGAATGTCTCTTAAGTTTTCAGTTCCAATGCACAGATTTGTGTTTTCAGTCGTGTCCTTGACGGTCAGTTTACATCTGAATATTGTTTCCCACAATTCATTATAAATAGATATGTTGAGGGATGGATGAACATTCAGTAAAAATTCTTCCAAGCCTCTAATTTTTACTTTA